GTTTAAGGTCTACTCTCATGTTAAGTAGCTTCTTCACCATTCTGCATGAGTTTAAGGTCTACTCTCATGTGAAATGGTTTCTTCACCACTCTGCATGAATTTAAGGTTACTCTCATGTTAAGTAGTTTCTTCACCATTCTGCATGAGTTTAAGGTCTACTCTCGTATTAAATGGTTTCTTCACCACTCTGCATGAGTTTAAGGTCTACTCTCGTATTAAGTGGTTTCTTCACCACTCTGCATGAGTTTAAGGTCTACTCTCCTATTAAATGGTTTCTTCACCACTCTGCATGAATTTAAGGTTACTCTCATGTTAAGTAGTTTCTTCACCATTCTGCATGAGTTTAAGGTCTACTCTCGTATTAAATGGTTTCTTCACCACTCTGCATGAGTTTAACGTCTAATCTCGTATTAAGTGGTTTCTTCACCACTCTGCATGAGTTTAAGGTCTACTCTCATGTTAAATGGTTTCTTCACCATTCTGCATGAGTTTAAGGTCTAATCTCGCATTAAGTGGTTTCTTCACCACTTTGTATGAGTTTAAAGTCTACTTTTGTGTTAAGTGTTTGTTTTTTTACTAATCTGTATGAGTTTATTTTTAAAAATGGAACGTTAACCCACGGAATACAAAACAAGCAACACTGTCTTCAAGTCACTTGACTGGCTCAAAAATACAAACGACAGAATATTTATTCCTGGATATTTTAGGTACACATAAAAAAATGTTTTAAAAACCAAAATTAAACCTAGAAATTATTAAAATTGGGTATTTATAAAACATTTAAAAACAGATCTTGTGTAGCAACTGAATAATCTATGTAAGAATACACCCATGCATATAAATAAATATATTTATCAATGATGTCTTTTAAAGCGTTTTCCATATAAATCAACATGTCTTCATAAATAAATCATTAAATTCAAGTACGAATACATAAAGCTTAAGTTTTTAGGTTGATTAGATACGTCTCCTCTTCCTAAATCACTATATTCCAGAAATATGTTGTTGTTGTTGTTTTTATGAAACCGCACAACTATTCCTCTTTGCTGCAGGTTTCCCTTTGAAACGTAGAGGAAAGGCATTGACAGGAAGAGACCCCCTGCGCATCCTTGTGCTTGGTAAGCTGGTTTTGGGACAGTCAAGGTGACTTTGTAAGAATATTTCTGTAAAGATATTAGTGATGTTGACGTTATCCTTCGCTGAACTTTCAACAAAACCATGTTCCCAGTCAATACACACCAACGTTTCGGATAGTTCCTTCTGCACCACCCTCTTCCCTTCCAGATCACTTTTATTCCCCACCACAACTATAGGGACGTTGGACGACCTCACTTCCAGCACTGAATCCCGGAGGCGACGCACTTCTTCAAAAGATTCATTGCTGTCAATGGAATACACCAGGGCGAAGGCGTCGCCAGAACTGATGGCCAAGTGTCGCATGGCTGGAAATTCACAACTACCACTTGTATCCAGAATATCGAGCTTAAATATCGCGCCCCCTACCTCATATTCCATACTGTGCAGCTCCTCTACTGTGGGGCTATATTCAATCGGAAAGGTTTGGTAAAGAAAACGTTTAATGATGGCGGTCTTACCAACTCTGGCGGATCCCATGACAACGAGTCTATATTGATCCTTTAAAGATGATCTTATCTCCACATCCTGAGCTATAGAAGCTGCTCGGTTCAGACGACCAGGTGAAAACCCTGGCATCTTATCGCCCAGTTCTCGAAATATTGAAGGTCTTCTTTGTTGGGGGATGCTATTTGGATAGCACGATCTCTCATACACGTTATCTTTGTTTGACGCCACCTGCTGGAGAAAAGTGCATTCATTTAATACTTTGCGTGAGATACCGTCAAGAGTATACAAAATATTCAATCACAGGCCTGCGAATTTGAAGATCATAAAAGTTGTTTTGGTTTTAATAACGGATTTTCCATAATTCAGCTACGCAGATTTCGAAAATAATATTAAATTTTTTCTATCACGTAAGGAGTTTTTACAAATCGAGAAGAAAAAAACTATTAAATAAAATAATTATTTCGTTTACCACAATGAACATTTTTTTTATTATGTTTGTTAACAAGAATACAAACAAACTAAAGAAAAGGGAAGAACGCCGATGCCAAACGAATATGCATGGATATCATTTTCGGATTTAGCGTACAGGAATTACTGTAGAACATGTAAAAATTTAAGACAATTAAACCATCGCAGGCCTATGAAATAACTCATTAATATTATGTATTACGTATAATTATTGTATAAGTGTTATATATACGTTAATAAATGCCCATAAAAATGAATTTTGTTATAGAAAACATCAGATCTATAGCACGACATTTGACAGTTAATACCGAATACAAGAAAAATATAACTAAAACAAAACGACCATTAATAAGCTATTAATGAACACGAACACTATCTGAGACGGGTAATTATTACATAAATAACTAAAACAAAAAGACCATTAATAAGCTATT